AATACCAAGCTATTAGCACTCTATACAATTCTTTATATCTATAATGTATTATTATATTTAAATATTTATTTATTTTATAATTTTAGTCTTCTTAAAATTATCAATCATTCACGAATGCAGCAAAAATCAAATCTGACAAAAATGATTATTGATTATTATCTTAATCAATATCCAAATTATTTTTATTAATTTCAATACTGGCATTTCCTGTTTAGCTATATTTTTTATATATGGATAGATAGTATTTATAAATGTTTCTAATTACAAATGTGTGTTTAGGATTTTTAACTTCCATAAGCTTATACAAAGACTTTAAAAAATGTTTGTTAATTTATCTTATCTTACGTGTAATTGTATGTCATTTACATATATATGTAAATATATATATTTTATTAAGTGTGAGAAGGTTACGAGATATGATTTTTGCTTTTTGCGTGCGAGAAAAAGAAGAGAATGCGAGGGAGAAAGAGATGAGATAGACGTACATATAATGTATCCACTTTGATCTCAAACGAAAGGTAGCTCCGGCAGACGCGCAAAAAGCTCATGCCCACTTAATACGTGGCGGCTGATATCTCGAGAAATGTATTAGCGAATTGCTCGGTGCCAAGATGGGGAAATGTCTGCGGTATATTCGCGAATCATCTAACTCCTTTGCCGGATCTGCTGGCTTTGCTGCACTGGTATTAAATTCTGCGTGAACCCGCCGGTACCTTCAAAGAAACGTAGAGACTCTTGCTATTGCTCTTTTAAATTGGATATAAATTTTGTGCGCTAATATTTGCTACGTATACGTGAAGCGAGTTACGAAAAATTAAGGAAATTGGTTTACCTAGCTGAAAGAAACTGTTAATATAATTATTCGATGTAATTAAATGACTTATTTCTTGAAGAATATTTAGAAATTAAAGATTAAAAACTGTGCTCATTAAAATTACTAAGCTCGCAAGCAAGAGCAACTTGTTTATAGTGAGCTTTTGAATATCGAAGCGACTTTTAAGATAATTAGATACTTGAAACTATAAAATATGAAATATTATACAATATCCGAGTCAATAATAAATGATGGTTTATTCAATTATTTTCTGATATTCCATGCGAGCAATAAAAGCCGATTATAATGAGTATTATATGAAATAGCGCATTTACTTGGGATGTCATAAAATGAGTAATAGTCTTACTGTTAGTACGTTTTATTTGGCAAGGACGTGTATCTGTACGCAGCATCTTAACTGTGTGTGTGTAATAAAATATGAAATATATATATATATTTGATTGTAAATAATAAATAAAAGGCTAAAATCATGCGATTATTTTTTAATATTCTGGACAAGCAATAGTAGCTAATTTTAATTATTATTTCATAAATATTACACATATAAATTCGTATAATATATATAAATCTTATCATTTTTCAAATATTTTTATAAAATGAAATCTCGATACACTTTAATCGGCAAGAGCAGAACGCATATCGACCGTGCTTGTACTTTTGCGTGAATGTTCAAGTTCTTCCGGCTCGCGTGACCTTCTCGCGTAATCTTCTAACAATAAGACAGACTTCCGCTTCCGAAAGTTAATCCTCGTGGAAACCCGAGACACGCTTCTCGCAGGGATTTCAGGGTCGATCGATATCCTGATCGCGAGAGTACGAAGGAGATATGAGTGAAGAAAAAAGCAAAGTATAAAATCAGGAGACGAATGAGTCGCAAAAGCAGGAGGCGAGGGGGAGGAAGGAAAAAAGGAGAAACAGGGATCGCGGGTGAAAACTACCACCTGAAACATAACTTCTGATACGCTCTCGTCTCTTCAGCTTCGCTTGTTTTTTTTTAAACTCACGAGGGCGTTTTTCACGGCCTCTCCTATATCCCAGCAGCTTTCATCCCCGTATACGTATTATTCCCCCGATGAAAAGTGGAGAAGGGGGATGTTGCGTACCGACAAAGTCCATTCGTGACCTCTTTAATCCCGGGATCGAATAAGAATTCATTAGGAAGATATACAGAGCCCAAACTCGGTCTCGCGTAGGGGAGGACTTTTTAGCTTTCTCCGTATCGCGCGTCTGGGGTTTTAAATAAATTAAAAGTTTGCATTTTCTACGGAGCGAATAACTTCGTCGAGCGCCCAAATGCGACAGCGAGCTAAATTCGAAAGCTGAAGTCGGTAGAGTGGGACAAAGCGCTCTCGGCGATTAAAGTTTTCTCTAATTACTCTTAGAATCGAAGAGAACGGGAGGGTGTATTCGAAAGGCGAAAAGCATAGTTGACTATTCATGACGCAGCTCCACTTTTTTCGCAAGCTAGTGAAGAAAGAAACACGTGTTTCCGTTGCTTCTACGTCGAGTTTTGCATTTGGAAAGAAAGATTGAAGATCTTTGTTCTCTCGATACAAATGTTTAATAATGATACATTCAACAAATCCGTGGATACTGCGTGGGCGAATTCATTATATTAATCGTACATCCGTACTTTATCTGATCGTGCGTAGGCATTTTTATTGAAAGTACAATGACAAAAATTGTTTGACAAAGAGATATAGTATTTCTCATCTTTAAAAATAGAATTGATTTTATTGTATTAAATGATTATCTAGTTTTTTATAGGTCTCATCTCGTAATTATTGTTTATTTAGACGTTCGTAAAAGTCATTGTTAGATGTTATGTTTGTATTAGTGTAATTGAAGAGTCGAGGTATCTTTAATTAGATATAAATGTCTTTATAGCTTTTGAACATCGGATATATAAATGTGTATAGTGTTTTATTTAACATAAATACATTAATCATTTTTTATTAAATACATAATACAGGATGATGAAGATTGCTTACGTGATGAAGAATAATTTTACGATGCATTTAAAGCTGCGAGATGGTAAAAGGACTTGATGTCGACTTCGTGTCACGAGCGAATCTCAATGGAACGCTTAATGACTGCGTTACGCATTAATGGTCGCCTGGAAACTGCTTGAAGATACACGAGGAAGTCGTTTCCCGTGGATGTGACCGGAAACTCCAACAGCTTTCCCAATGAAGTAAGCAATGAATAAGTGCTTTGCGAAGGATAGATTATTGTGGCACAAAATAAATTTTTATAATTAACTCTCTGTTGAAATTTATATATATGTGTATTTTATATATGTACATACATATATATGTGTATTTTATATATAAAATTCATATATAAAATTCAAATTACATATATAAAATTCAGAAATAGATTTATTTTTTAGATAATTTACGATTATACGATTATATGAAAAATTTATATTATTAACGCCTGTAATTATTTTTAAACATGTAAAATATCGATTGGATGCATTGGAAAAAAGTAATATTTTCTTTAGTTTATAAATTATAAATTATTAAATATACTACATCTTATTTCTAATAACAAATGTTCTATATCTTACTTCTAACAAAAAATATTCTATATCTTCTAACGAAAAAAACAAACGTATAATGAGAACATTTTAATGTCATAACTGCTGTATTAATAACATTTACGACTTTTTCATTTGCAGCTTAACTTTTATTTTGGTACGTTTTTATTGCTCGCAAATAACATAAAAAATCCTCACTTGTAGTAACGTTGCGTAGTTGATGTTTGTAATGATCAGCTTTGCGAAAGAAGATGAAAGAAACGCATTTTAAACACATTTCGTCCGCGGTAGCACTTGCTCGTTTTTCTACAGCCATGTTAGATGCCAACTTTGATCGATTAATTAATTAAATGTAAACGCGACGTTCTCTCTTCATTATGGATTCTGTTTTTTCTACGGTTTTCTTACTTCTCTGTTTTACTTACTCTCGTTTTCCTTGCTTCATTCTCTTTCCAATTATTTTTGCGCTTATTGTATGCGAATCTCAAGAGCGAGCTTTGGAAATTCCCAAGTCACTTATTTGCGTTTAAAAGTCGCGTCTTTTTCTACTACGCAATGCAGATGATTAATTGGCCGATGTTTGTTATATTACGATATTAAATGCGAGGAAACTGTTCATTTATTCGCGACTTGTTTTTATCGATCCAATTAATAGATTCTCATGAGCTATGCTTTCAGTTTGCATCATAAGATAACGTGATAGAAGTTCGCAATGTCATTGAAATAATAGGGAATGCAACACACAATATGCATGCCGTGAATAATAAAGTTGAATGATTTATTCCAGTTTATTTACCGAGGAACACCCTTTTCGTATATGTAATATGATTTCGCGGAAAGATGAAATGCCAACATTTCATGCCGAACGGTAATCCGCGTTTTAATAAAGAGATTATACGATCATCCCGTACCCTCGAGAACGGATTGCACGAATATATCGTAGTTCAAGTAGCGCGATTTTCCGTCGCGGTTTAATATTTCCGTCGCGAGAGAAGTTTCTCGCGCTTTACCGTTAATTTCTTAGCAGCGTTTATTGCGGAAGTTAATACTTACGAAATTCCGTATTACTGTATCGTGATCTAAGCCGCTCGTTTTCTCTCTCTATTTCTCTCTTTCTTTCTTTTCTCGTTCTACCCGTTATCTTCTTCTGCTACCGCTGCCGCGAACATTCTCTCTCGCGAAACGACGATCGTACGGTAGAGTCATTAAGAACTTTCTCTGGGTGCCGTGGTCGGAACTATGGAAAATTGATGAGAGCGGGCTATCGTTATTTTCCCCGATGTTTCTCGCTCTCCAAGGGATCTGATG